GATGGAACGGGCCAGTCCTGCCCCCCACTCCCCGCCCTCACACTGGCCTGCAAGTTGCTGGGACCTCCTCCAGCTGACTTGGATATGGGGCCAGGGAAGATCAGCTGGTGCAGGGACCGCTGCCCTGATCCAGGGGTGGGGGAGGATCCCTGCACCAGCTGATCTGCCCCAGCTCCATACCCAAGCCAGCTGGAGGATGGAGGGGGACCGAGGCAAATCAGCTGGTGTGGGGACCCACCCCTGCCCCGTGGTCAGGGTAGCAGGTCCCCGCACCACCTTATCTGCCCCAGCCCCATACCAAAGCCAGCTGAAGGAGGGTGCAGGGCCTGAGGCAGATCAGCTGGTGTATGGACCCTCCCCCACCCCTGGATCGAGGTGGTAGTCCCTGCACCAGCTGATTTGCCTTGGCCCCATACCCAAGCTGGCTGGAGGAGGGTGCAGGGCCCAGGGAAGATCAGCTGGTGCAGGGACCCTCTCCCACCCTGGGATTGGAGCAGTGGTCCCCACGCCAGCTGATCTGCCCTGGCACTGTGCCGCTGACCCCAGGCAGCAGCACCCATCTCCTGTCAGCTGGCAGGCAGATCAGGGGCCTGCCAGCACCCCTGGTTGCGCTGTGGGGGCTGTGCTGGAGTCCTCCTGGGGCAGCAAGCCCCTGATCTGTCAGCTGGGCGACAGGAGCTGAGTGCTGCCACCTAGGACCAGTGGCAGCACCGATTTTCCCGGTGCTGGTCCCAGGTGGCACCTGTCTTCTCTCATCTGGCAGGTAGATCAGGGGCTCGCGTCCCCAGGAGGATTCTGGCACAGCCTTCACAGTCCTTCTTGGGGTGCCAGTGAACCCCCGATGTGCCCACCTGCTGCATTTTATGTTTTCCCATAATAACTATGGGCGAAACATTGAATCAGCGTTGAAACAACAAAACAGTTTTGATGAAATGAAATGGAATGGAACAGTAGTTTTGAAATGAAACAAAACTCAAAGCGAAACACTGTTCCGTTGACTCATCGTAACTGCAGCCGAATTGGAACAGTGCTGTTTCGCAAAGCCCTAAAATAAATGTAAAATGGGTGATGGTAACATTTGCACTGAGTTTATTAAGACCAAGATTACACTCCCATCTCTTTAGGGACAGAATGCCAAAAGCAACATGACTATTTGCCACTCAATAGTCGATGAAAGTTGATTCATTCTGGAGTTCCATTTTCACTTTGGAAAATGTCACACTTGATTCTATGGTTCTGATGCTTCCTAGGCCAGGAGTGAGTTTCTGGTCATGACTATCTTTTAGTTGTGATATCTGAGCAGCTTTCAGTGGCATTTGCGTTGGTGTGTTTTATCATCTGTCACACATTCCCAGTTACTTCCCCCTAGCAGATCCCTGTTTGTATGCTGAATTGTTTTCTAGAACTGCTTCTTTGAGTGCATAGCAGAGCACCCAGGGTTTGTATTTTAGCTTTTGTGCTTGCCTGACTATATTAGAGGAGAAAGGTACAAGAAGTATATCATGCACTTGCAGTGGAAGCTGGGGAATTCTGGGACAGTACCAGGATACTGTCTTCATTCACTCAGCCTCCAATTGGCCTTTTAAGGCTTCATCTACTGTACAAAAGAATGTTACTCCAACTGCAGAAAGATCTCTTGTGGCACAGCACTCTTGTTAGTCTTGGCCATCTTCTCAGAGCATTAGAAGATCTATTCTGAATCCTGAAGTTCACACCCAGGTAGGAGCTTAATTCTTTACTTTATGTAAACCCAGTGGAAAGCTCAGAGGCCAAGTGCGAAAATTTTCAAATATAGGTCATAAAGAGAGACTTCTTTTTTCACATGTACTTCTGTTTTGGGGTTGGGAGACTGAAGCATGCCTGGTCTTATTGTCACTAACCAAAGTCTTCATGTATGTTTATACTTTTTTCCTAGATAAAATCCAATGGCAAACCTAGAATGGGGGAACAAAACAGCCATCACAGAATTCATCCTCCTGGGATTTGGGGAGCTCCCTGAACTAAGGTTTCTTCTCTTCCTGCTCTTTCTAGTGATCTTTGTTATGACAATGGTTGGGAACATCCTCATCATTGTACTAGTTGTGATTGATCAGCACCTTCACACCCCCATGTACTTCTTCCTTGTCAGTTTATCCTGCTTGGAAACTTGTAACAGCTCAAACATACTTCCAAGATTGCTAGCCAGCTTCCTGACTGGGGACAGGGCAGTGACTTTTACTGATTGCTTAACACAGTATTATTTCTTTGGCTGCCTTGCGGCTACAGAATGCTACCTCCTAGCAGCAATGTCTTATGATAGGTACATAGCAATATGCAAACCCCTGCATTATGCAACTATTATGAGTACCAGCCTTTGTCTCCAGCTCAGTGCTGGAGTTTGGATAAGTGGCTTTCTGACAAATACAATATTAACTGGTCTGATCGTAAATTTAGTCTTCTGTGGCCCCAAAGAAATTGACCATTTTTTCTGTGATGCCTTCCCTTTGATGAAACTCTCCTGCAGTGATACTCATCTAGCAGGGCTTGCAACTTCCACTGTTGCTTTTGTATGTTCCCTGCCTCCATTTCTGTTGACCCTGACATCCTACATTTGTATCATTATCACCATACTAAGAATCCCCTCTACCAGAGGGAAGAAAAAGGCATTTTCCACTTGCTCTTCTCACCTTATTGTGGTGACAGTTTTCTACTGGTCAATACTCACTGTGTATGTGCTTCCATACAATGACAAACTGAAAGATATGAGCAAAGTGTTCTCTGTCTTTTTCACAGTTTTGACACCTATGATCAATCCCCACATCTACAGCCTGAGAAACAAAGAAGTCAAAAAAGCCTTGAGACAAATTGTAAATTTGAAGAGGAGGGAATTGATCCAGATTACTCTGCGGTAAAATATATGGAAGGTACTAGCTGTCACTAACCATCAGACAGAAATATTTTAGTGTATTATAGCTATAGGTCCTGGATTAACGCTTGAGAATCTGTGGCTATACCACATCAGAATATGCCAACAGAACAAGGGGGTAAATATGAATATGCATAATATATTGATCCGTGATAGTTATAATTTTTGTAGACAGAATGATAATATGTTGGTAACAGCACCCAGAGCCAAGCTGTGCCAGCACTGAGGCAGTACAGCTAAAAGGAGGTCTAGTCATTGAGCCCTTCAAAGGTGAGCTTGGTACACCATGCCCAGGCACATGTGGGGAGTTGCAAGGAGTCTACTGCACAGTACCAGTAGGCCCATGCATCAGGTCTCTCTGAGGTGAGGGTGGGAACTCCTCCAAGTCATGAGGACATTTCTCTGTGGGTGCAGTTCTTGAGTCCTGGCTCCAGGAACCAAAAGCAATGTGTCCGGAGTCATGCTGTGAGCATCACTAAACCTTGTCTAGCTGTGCTGAGACCTAGACACTGAGAGACACCAATAGGATGGATACAGGCATGGACAGTCATCTGTGTCTATTAACAGCTGGTCACTGCATGCACAAATAACTTATGTGGCTAAATCTAACCACATACTGGATGTCTAAATCTTCCTATCCAGGGAATTCATGCTATAATAGAGTATTAAATGGACTTTTTGTCACATAAGTTACATATCCACATGACTTATAGGGCTAAATGGTCTAATGGTATGTCACCTGATGAGTAGACCCTTTTTATTCTGGAATATAGGTGCCTCATTCTGTATTTCTATGATTTTCTTTCAAGATGTCCCTTGTCATGGTCAATTTGTATGATGCAAGGGGAGCCCTGCTGAA